TGTTTTTTTTGCTACTTTCTGACTCTACGTCGATACTTTATCTATGCAGATGTTTCCTTCTCTGAATCAGTTCCCCTTTTTTGGCTCCTCTAATGCTCTTGTGGACTCTGGTTATGTTCAGTCATCTCTTCCTGCCGACTCCTTTGAATACATTCTGCCTTTGCCATTCTATTTATATAACTCTCCTTCGGTCACCTCTTCTCTTGATTAGTTACAACATGTTTCTCCATATGTTTATATGGGCTCACATCCAGCTGCATCTCCTCCCTCAGCTTCGGTCCCACCTTCGGCTAGTGACCTTCCCATTGCTCTTTGTAAAGGTACCCATGATACTCGCCCTCCGGCCAGTATACAGTTAATATTAGTTACCATCGTCTTTCTCCATCTTATTATGCATGTCTTTCCTCTTTGTCTTCTGTGTCTATTCCTAAGACTACAAGTGAAGTACTTTCACATTCCGAATGGAGACAGGCCATGATTGATGAAATGAGTGTTCTTCATCACAATGGCACCTGTGATCTAGTCCCTTTTCTGTTTGGGAAATCTGTTGTTGGCTGTCATTGGATTTATGTTGTTAAGGTTGGTCCCGATTGTCAAGTGGATCACCTTAAAGCTCACTCAGTGGAAAAGGGTTTCACTCAGGTATTTGGACTGAATTATGGTGACACTTTTTCCCCTGTGGCGAAGATGTCTTTTGTTTGCCTCTTTATTACTATGGTTGTTACTGGCTCTCTTTATAAACTTGATATTAAGAATGCTTTGGCAAATTTAGCAGTGTTGCTCAACAATTCGGTATGACTTGGAGTGAGACTGATCATTCTCTCTTTTATTATCATTTAGCTTCCAGGTCTATCTACTTGTGGTGTATGTGGATGATATTGTCATCGCAGGTAGTAATAATCATGGGATTACTCAGTTGAAGTAACATTTGTGTCATAGGTTTCAGACCAATGATCTTGGAAAACTTTGATATTTCTTGGTAATCGAAGTGGCCCAATCTAGATGGTGTTGTGGTATCTTAGAGGAAATATGCTCTGGATATTCTTGAAGAGACTACTTTGTTAAATTCTAAGTTTGTTGATACCCCTATGGATTCAAGTGTCAAGCATCTACCAAATTAGGGGGAGCCCTTTTCAGGTCCTAAATGGTATAGAAGATTGGTTGGAAAACTGAACTACCTCATAGTCACTCGACCTGACATTTCATTTGCAGTTAATGTGGTAAGTTTGTTTCTTTACTCTCCATATCAAGAACACTGGAATGTCGTCATTCGTATTCTTAAGTAAATCAAGGCATCTCTAGGAAAAGGCTTTGAATATGATGATAAGGGTGCTAATTAGGCCGACTGTCCTACTGATAAAAGATCTACTACTGGATATTATGTCTTCGTTGGAGGCAACTTGGTTTCTTGGAAAAGTAAGAAGCAAAATGTAGTTTCCAAATAAGTGCTAAAGTATAATATCACTCCATGGCTACTACTACTTGCGAGCTCATTTGGCTTCTTAAGGAGCTCAAGTTTGGAGACACTGGACCACGAACTCTCATTTGTGATAACCAAGCAGCATTGCATATTTCTTCCAATCCAATATTTCATGAAAGAACCAAGCATATTGAGATAAATTGTTACTTTGTTCGAGAGAAGGTCCTCGTTGGTAAAATTATGACCAGTTTTGTATCCTCTAATAATCAATTAGCATATATATTTACTAAGCCTTTGAGGAATCTTCGAATAGAGTATATATGTGAAAAACTTGGTGCTTATGATTTATGCTCCAGCTTGAGGGAGAGTGTTGGAAAGAATAACTGTAGTATTTATAAATATTTATTTTCTTATTTCATTTGGATTTATGTTAGGTCTAGGTTAAGCACATTAAGATTTCTATATATTGTACTCTTATGTATCAATTCAATATATGAATTCATTCAATGTGCTTTTCGTCTCTTGTTACTTTACTAAAATAAATCAAATAGTATAAATAATAATTAAAGTAAAGTTAAAATATATTTTGTAATTTATTATGAAATCATTTATTTTTAATGGGTTTTTTTCATTATAATCAACTTAAACGCCTTTTAAAATTATATGAGCCTTCTATTTTGTTATGTAAATATGAGAATAAGAGGTTGAAGATGAAGAAAAAGAAATATTCGTTTTGCAAATTTGAATATTTGTGAGAGACTAAAACATGAAATTGTTCAAAAAAATGAATGGAAAGATGTTTTTGATAAATTTTTATTTATAAAATCAAATTTTAGAGGGTCTTAAATTAAAAGAAAAAATTAAAAATTAAAATTTAGATAGACATAGAGAAGATACATTAAATAAAATGTTAATGATAAAAAAAATTAGAGAGAAAGTTAATTCAAGTGAATAATTAAACGTGCAAACAACTTTAAAAATAAGGGTATGATGTTTTTCATGTTGTAAGAAATAAAATATCTCTTATACACATATGAAAGTATGATGGGCTAATATGAAAATAAAAAAGAAAAAAATATATTGATCTCACACACTTTATACGTGTGTAGGAGATAATTATATGAGAGATAATGAATGCCAAAAATAAACATTTATATGTTCAAATTTTTTAATAACATGGGCGACGTGGGATTTCCTTCTTTTGTCTGTAGCCAATTTTATTGCTATCTGAGTACTATTTCCTTACTAATTAATGTAAATAAATTACTATTTATCATATTTAATAAATGGAATAAGTGATTAATGTTTTTTCTGGAACCGTTGTTCACCCTCGTGAAAGTAGGTGAGACCGTATGAGGAAAAAAAAGACTCACCCATATATATAGGAGATGAATTATCTCATTTTTGCTTGAAGAAATATTAAACTCTTTAATAAATGAGTTTAATGTTTTTGTTGCAGAAAAAGTTTTTCTGTTAAGTGAGTGAATGCCATTATAGAGAAGAGAAAAAAAAATTAATGAGTCCCAGTCATTTTTAAGTAAATGTGACAGAAAAAAAATTTATAAAGAAAAAGCAAAAACATAATAAAAATAAATAATGTGATCAAGTGCTTGGTGTCATAAATATTTTCATCGTTTCAACAACGATAACTGATGTCAATGCGCGTGTCATTATCAGTGTTTTAAAATCCCGCCTCACTTTTCGAGTTGACCCGGGTCAACCCTGACTCCTTTTCTCTGAGGGTTGGGGTTACAAGTTGGATCCTATATGCATATCGACCCCTCCGACTCCCAAAACCTGGCAGGGTTTTAGTGACTCCCGGGTCAGAGGGGTCAAAGACGGTCACTGCATATTTTTTTTTTTTAATTCCATGAAATAACATTGTTTTATTAAAAAAAAAATCTTTGAAAACCTAAATCTAATCGTTCTCTTCTCTCCTAGTGACCTATATGTTTTCAATCTTCACCTCACTGCCGTAAATTTTCTAGAAAAGATAAGAATTTTACCCATTCAAATGATATCCTTATGGTCGTCGATGGAAAACAAAAATCCATTCTTACTTCCTTTAAATTTTTCTTTGTCAGAGACTTTCTCAAAAGAGGCAGAACCGGGTCAGCGTAGTGATCCCATTAGAATATGAGTTTTGTACTTTGGTATCTTAATACTTTGATTAGGTTGTGTAATATTGACTTGTGGTTGTAATTGGTTAATTATGTTAAGTATATTTTGAATTTTGAATGATTGGTGGTTTGTTTTTTAATATTTTTATATAAGATATATATATATATATATATATATATATATATATATATATATATAGTTTAAAAACCTGACCCGGCCGAAGTCAGGGGTTATAGAGTCACGAGTTCAATAGGGGGTCACGGGATCACTACGCTGACCCGATTTTATATATTTTTATATAAGATATATATATATATATATATAATCGGGTCAGCGTAGTGATCCCGTGACCCCCTATTGAACTCGTGACTCTATAACTCCTGACCTCGGCCGGGTCGGGTTTTTAAACACCGGTCATTATTAACCACACGTTCGTCATATTATCTTGGTGCAATCACCGATTGGATTATAGATCCATATTGGACAAGTAAACATATATTTTCCTCAGTAATACGTATATGAAGTTGAATTGGTACAAATCATGTATCAGACTAGTTGTAACTTATAAGTATCCATCTAACATGAAGTCTTCAAAACTTGCAGTTGTTATACAAACTAGTCAGAGAATGTGACTTTGAAACCTTTCGGGAAAATTCTAATTTTTTTACGCATATAATTAAGTAATACATTTCTCCTGGAGAAGAATTGTGTCTCCTGCATACACAATTCACAATTCCTCTTAACAGGAGAAATTATATTCTTCTAAAATTATATAAGCCTTCTATTTTGTTATGTAAATATGAGAATAAGAGGTTGAAGATGAAAAAAAAAATATTCATTTTGCAAATTTAAATATTTGTGAGAGACTAAAACTTGAAATTGTTGAAAACAAAAAAGGAATTAAATCGAAAGATGTTTGTGATATATTTTTATTTATAAAATCAGATTTTAGATGGTCTTAAATTTTAAAAATAAAGTAAAAATTAAAATCTAAAATGTAAATGATAAAAAAAATTAGAGTGTAAAGTTAATAAGTCAAGTGAATAATTAAACATACAAACAACTTTAAAAATAAACATTTATATGTTTCAAATAAATTACTATTTAGTGATATCTGAGTACTATTTCCTTAATAATTAATGTAAATAAATTTCTTTTTAGTTTTTTCACATTAATAAAGGGAATAATTAATAAATTACTTTTTATCACATTAATAAAGGGAATAAGTGATTAATGTTTCTTCTGGAACAGTTGATCACGTCATGTGAAGTGCTTGGCGTCGTAAAGATCTTCCTTGTTCCAACAACCATAAGTCGATATCCGATGTCACTGCTCGTGTCATGACTAACCACACATGTATGTTTCTCTGTTTTTCTATAAATTCTAGTCTATTTTGTCTTACACACTAGGACACATTCTTAACACTCTCCTTTCTAGTTTCTTGCCGAGTGCCGTGGATATGGGGAAGCTCATGCATGCTGTTCAGTATAATGGCTATGGTGGAGGCCCTGCTGCCTTAAAGGTTTTTCAACTTCATATCATTCTTATTACTGCAGTTTTTTGGGATTAAAATTTTTCTTTCAATTCTTCCCTCTAAGTGGTTTTTTTTTTATTTTTCCTTAGTTCCTTAATTCTTGTATTCTTGTTCTGGCATGTCATTTAGGCCCAGCAAGTTAGACTCAATATCAATAGCCCACCTCTTGAACCTTCCAGAGAGCATTCCATAGTGGGTCTGAATAAGGAATAGAAATGGATGAAAATTTTACATTTATGACAAAGAAATCACGGAATAAGTAGTGGGCCTGAAACATATTAAATTTTTCCATGTGGTGGTACAACTCTTGTCCCCCACTCCTCATTCTCTTTTGGAGAGTGACCTTGGCTCTCTAAATACTTTTTTCTTCTATTGAAGGGATATCATATATTCTATTCATGAGTTGTTACTCTACAAAATATAGAATTACCATAACCATTTACAAACTTCCCCCTTTGAGATATAACACCTAGGGAACTCTAATAGAGTCTTGTTCCGTACCATTGCTATTAAAAGTGCCCCAAGATTGACATAATATATCCCTTGAGGGATACATCAGTGGCTCTACAAACACAAGCTGTTCAATTCTTAAATGGAAAATGTCTAAACTGTTCTTTTTCTGTTTTTAAACTTTTGTGTTGCATGAATTCTTTGAGAGTGAAGATTTACATAGTGTGAATGAGAATAGGCAACCACTGATTGGTTCCAATAATCATGTTGTGTAATGGTGGAAGATTTGGGTGGCTCTTAGGATGCTTTGGTTAATTACTTACAGAACAAATGTATGTAGGAAGAAAAGAAAAATTGATGTTGAGATATATAAAATCATTAATGTAACCTCACCCAATAGCTTAAACTTTTGGGTTGAATTGGTTCTTTACATGGTATCAGAGCCTTGGTGTACCGGGTTCAATCCTCACCCCCCACTTTCTTTCTAGTGGAATTTCTTTCTTCGCACAGATAGGTGGGCCTGTGCATTGTCCACCTAATGTAGCCTTACCTAATAGCTTAAGCTTTTGGGTTGAATTGGTTCTTTACAGTTGACAATTTATGTGTTATCCGAACATTGATATTGTTGTTGTTGAGATAACTTCAATTGTGTCTTAAGAGAGAATGGCTTCATGTATCAAATTGTCGCCAAAATCTATCAACCATGATTAGATTTATAAATTGAGAATTACATCTTGTCGCGTGTGTTAAGAATTGGTGGTGTTTTTAGTTAGTAGTCTCTCTCTCTCTTATAGAAAGGACCTTGATTTCTCTCAATCCTATCTTCTGTTAAATTATGAGAGCATTATTATAGGTTTAACCTCCTCCATATACCTTCTCTTCTTTGTTAACGTATATTAAGGATATATAATTAAAGAAACCATTGTTTTTGGCCTAGTCAAAAAATTTCTTCCTATCTCTTCTTAAAAATTAGAGGGACAACGTTGCATAAAATCGAACCTCCCCTCTACCCTCGCAAAGCTGGAAAGCCTTGTGCATTGGGATTTGCCTAACATTTTCTTCCCATACAAAAATATATGGTGACTGAAACTATGACATTTAATTGGAGTCCAAAGTAATCTAATAAGAATTTGCTCTACTAACCTAAATCTGACTTCCTCAATCTTTTTCAAAAGGGAAAACTTCTTTGTACTTGTATTACATACATTATTATTAAAATTTAGTGGATTATACGATTTTCGTTGGACAAGCATGTTGTGCTTCTCTCTAGTAACTGGTCAAAAGAAGTATATGAATGATGACTTCTTTGGAAGAGGAGACTTATACCTTTTTCTAATAAACTCCCTTATTTTATTGAGGATAAAAAGGGAGCTACAGAATAGACTTTTGTGCTAATATCATATGAAGCTAATATCTATAACAATAATTCTGGCATCTTTATCTGTGTGCCCTTCGTGTTTGTCTAAGAAAAAAGTCAATCAAAATGCATTTTATTTGATTAGGAAGCATCAATGACATAAAGAATATTTGTAAATTACAAATGCTATTTAATTAGAATCTATACTTATTGCAGCATGTTGAAGTTCCTTTACCCACTCCCAGTAAAGATGAGGTTTTAATCAAATTGGAAGCAGCTAGCATAAATCCATTCGATTGGAAAGTACAAAAAGGCATGGTGTGGCCACTTTTGCCTCGCAAATTCCCATTTATACCATGTAGCTTTCTTTCCTTTTCTCTCGCTATTTTTGTGTATTTTCATTTATGCCAAAGAGATTTTAGTATTTTATGTTTAAACATTGGCATCTTCACCTTTAGAAATTAACAGCAAGTTCTTATAATAATAATTTCAAGCAGTTGTCTTTGACAAGAATCTGATGAATATCCGTCTCTTCTTAAATGTATAAAATTTATAGGCGATGATCTTATGTGTAACACCCCTCTCCAGCAAAGAGGATTATACCCAATAATCAGAATGAGAACGATTGTATTTCATTCACCTAAAGTAAAACAACACCAAATCATACCACCACGTTCATCAAGTTCATAGATAAATTAATTACAGGCCCGAATAGTTTAAAATTCACAACAGAATGTCCCTTGAAAATTCTAAGGCCACCAAAAAGTAGTACATAGAAACATCTAATCAAAATACAGCAATCATATCATAGAAATTCACCGCAGCTTAGGACTATCCTCTTGGATCTTCAGACATGCCACATGATCCCATAAGGGGTGAGAATTTTCTTAATAAGTTATAAGAGGTTCTATCCCTCTTCTTACCACTCATCCAAGGCAGAAATAAGGTTGTAACACTTGATAAAATATTCTGCACATTAAATCAATGAGTATATGTCGAACTTTCAATGAACCATAACATCAAGATTAGTAATAGTATGACATCACTGCTATACGGTTCAAACCAACTTCACCTTAACACTATGTGTGCAACTAGTTGACCTATGCATATATTTGAGTTCAAAATAATGTGAGGCGTCCCTCACACTGCCAACTATCATATTCCTCAAGTTGTAGAATATGGCACAAGTGAAAAATTCACAATTTTAGTGCATGTGTAAAGGTAATTAATCTTTATTACAGCTATTTATAAGCATTCCCACAATGGAACAAGTGAAAAGTACATTCATACCTATCCATTAACACAATTGTGATATAATAGAGTTTCATCTTTAGATTCATCAAATTAAATTAGTCATTTTCGGCCTTCTATATCTGGGTATTTCACATCGTATATCCGGATACGTGCTCCATGTATATCCGTATACAAGGCCCAGATTTTCTGGATAATTCCCCTGAGATATCAGAATACCTGGGAACAATAGGATGTGAATCGACCAAAAAATAAATACTTAGACAATCACACTCAAAATTATCATTTTGTACTAAAGTATTTACATAAAGTTCATATCATATTTCAGGTTAAAAACATCACAACACCTAAGGACCTAGGTTACCATTTTCTACCCAATTTGATCCCAAGATATCCACATGCAAGTTTGTAACATAATAAAACTGGAGCAATTGACGAATTTTTGTTTAGTACCCTTCCCACCATTCTGTTTTTACCAGTTTAATACACATGCAATTGATACAACATATTTTCAGATCCATGGCAGAAGCTAGGAAGGACCTATCATAACTTACCTCTCTTGAAACCTTTGTGAACGGGTAGGCTTGGGGTTGTATCCTTAGCTCCACAAAGTTGTTACCTTTGAAGTGTAATGCTACACTTATTCCTGCCCTTGCTTCAGATTCTTTCTTCTTTGCTAAATTCCCAGAGTCACTAAATTTAGGAAATGGTAGTTATGAGTGTTTAGCCTCTAGTAGGAAGATGGAGTGATGATTTCTTGATAGAGACCTTAGTTACACAAAATTCAGAGGTTGGAGAGATGAATTTGCATATAACAGTAAGGAAGTGGGAGGTGAGGTATAGGAGAGATGGGAGTTAGTGGGTGGAAGGAAAACGTATAGAGGAGAAAGAGTGTAGGGGAGGGAAAAATTATTTGGTCTAAGAAGCCCCCTTTTACTTATAATTTTTTTTATAACTATCTATTTATAAATTTATATTTTACTTATTCTCTTTCTCATAAATTATAAATTTGAAATGAAGGGTATTACACTACTCCCCCCTTAAAGAATTTTGCCCTCAAAATTCAAAAGCGTACATGCTGAAAGAGTTATAGATGTTGTTGTAGTCGATACTCTCTCTCCCAAGTGGCCTCCTTAGGTAAACGTCCTTCCCATTAGACCTTGACCAGTGGAAATATCTTGTTTCTCTACTGCCTGGTATCTTGGTCTATGATCCGTATGGGTCTAGTGAGAATGGTCAGGTTTTCACAGACTTGTACCGACTCCGGGTAGATGACATGAGAAGGATCAGAAGGATATATTCTCAATTGGGAAACATGAAAGACATCATCAAGGTTGGATAGAGAAGGTGGAAGAGTAAGCCGATAAGCGATAGGCCTGACTCGATAAAGGATTCGGAAGGGAGCAAGGTACCTGGGACTGAGTTTCCTGACTCCAAGGGCTCTGCCCAAACCTATAGTCGGAGTGACTCTCCAGAAGATTTGTTATCCTTCCTCGAAACTCAAAGGCATGTGCCTATTATCATAATAACTCTTTTGTTTGTTCTGAGCTATAGCTAATCTTTCTCTATTACTTGAATCTGTCCAGACGTCTACTCGACTAACTCTAGCCCCAACACCTGCCTCTCGCCAACCTCGACAGCGACTTGCATCTCCTACCATAAAAGACCTCATATGGGACCATGTCAAGGCTAGAATGGAAGTTGTTGTTATAGGCAAACTCCACAAGTGGATTGTACCTATCCCAACTACCCATTGCTCAAGCACACAAGCCCGAAGCATGTTTTTCAGGGTTTGGATCATCCTCTCCTCCTGGCCATCCGTTTGAGGATAGAAGGCAGTGCTCAACTTCAACTGAGTGTCAAACGCCTCCTATAGGGCTCCCTAGAATCTAGAAGAGAATTTGGGGTCCTTATCACTCACTATGCTCGAAGGCACTCCGTACAGTCGAACTGTCTCCCGTACGTAGAGGTGTACAAGTTTCTCCTCGGTAAAGTTGGTCTTGACTTGCAAGAAGTGCGCAGTCTTGGTCAATCGATCCACCGCTACCCGGATAGCATCATGACCAGAAGAAGTCCTGGGAAGACAAATCACGAAGTCTATGAAACTGGAATCCCACTTCCACTCAGGGATTTCTAAGGGTTGCAATAACCCTGCAGGTTTCTGGTGTTCAATTTTCACCTTCTGACAGGTGAGACATCGAGCAACATACTCAGCCACATCTTTCTTCATGCCTAACCACCACAAATGCTGCCGCAAGTCTCTACACATCTTTGTAGCATCGGGATGAATAGTAAATTGCCCCTTATGAGCCGTGTCTAACATCTCCAAAATTAGCTCACCTTTAGGTACTATTGCGATCACGACAAGTATACCGGTTGTACAAGTAATAAAGAGATGAGTAATATATCGTTCCCACGAGAATTTATATATCAAGCACTATTGTCACTACTCTACCAAAGTTGGATCAACCAGAATGATTTTTATAAAAATGATTGAAATATAAAACTAGAAATTGAAACTACCAAACAATTATAAAGAACAAAATCAAGAACTCAAATTGACACTTAAAATAAAAATCAATAATTCAAAAGCGTAGCTAGGGTTTTAATTTTCCCAATTTTCTCCTAATCAATCTACCATTTCCCTCAATCAATATTCAAACTGATGTTGTTGATAATTCATTATAGATTAATCAAAACCCAATCCCTTAGTATTTCAATTCTTTGACCTATTAAGAATCTTAATCCGTTAGTGATTTCGCCTAGGGCAAGCATTAAGAGCGATGAACAAACAAAATCATAGGTTTCATCAGTCTATCCCTAGATCAAACAAAACCTAGCAATTATTCAGATCAGAATTTCACACCAGCATCCCTATTGTCATGCAAAACTCAAGTATCCCTTTATGAGTGACCAATTCACAAAAGAATTAAGAATGAAATGCAGAATAATTGCACAACATGAAAGATTGAATATTAAATTGAAAGGAAAGAGTAAATACAATTAAGATTCAAAAAGTTCCATGTAGCCCTAACTACCAGAAAACTTAACCTGATATAGTCGGAAACCTAAGACAGTAGATGAAAAACTAATAAAAGCAATAAAAAGAACTTAGATGTCGATCTCCACGGTGAATCTTTGACCCTCTCCTCGACTTCCCAGTCTAGGAACAAAGCTTTCCCCCTCTCCATGTCGCAGAAAACTGCATACCGATAGCTCTATTTCTTCCTTTTTTATAAAAAGATCTATGAGCCTTTCTTTACGAGATGCTCGCTGCATTTGCTCTCTGAAGTGAGCAAACCAGCGAGAAGAATGCTGAAAATGTGTCACTGCTCACTGAATTGCTTGTTGTAACGAGCAAGCCAGTGAGGAAGCTTTAAAAATATTTGTCTTGTGATGTTTTCTCGCTGTAGCGAGCAACCCAGCAAGTTGCAGCATGAAAAACACTCCTTTGGCTTTTCCTTGGCTTAAGTCTTGTCTTCCTCCGGCTTCCCAATACATTTTTCCCTGAAGCCAATATATTTTTCAATCAGTATCTGACCAAGCACAAAAACTCTAAAAGTCTTTTACATCTAATAATATTTACCATGTCTTCGACACTATTTAGTATACTTTTGGTCCTAAAGACATGATATAATTGACACTTAACAAGCACCACGATCCTGCCCTGGTACCTCAATAGGTCATCGTCCTCTCGGAAGATGTCCTGTTGTTCCAACAAGACTACCAAATGGGGATCTCTCTGTGTAGCCTCTTGAATCAGGTCGATTAGCTCATTCTCTCCGCGAGTCGTACTCACCTATAAATCATGACTCACGATGTTCAGGGATAAACTCATGTCACTGAATCTCTCAAACAATTCCCACTCTCTCAGCTACGAGATATGTAGTGACTTTCTGCTCAAGGCATCAGCCACCACAATCGCCTTTCCAGGATGGTACTTGAGTTCGAACTCATAATCTTTGAGGAACTCATGCCATCTTCTCTGTCTCAAGTTGAGCGTTTTCTGATAAAAAAGGTACTTCAAGCTCTTGTGGTCACTATAGACCTCAAACTTTGCCCCATACAGATAATGCTGCCACATCTTCAGGGGAAAGACGATGCTGCCAACTCCAAGTCGTGAGTGGGGTAGTTTTCCTCATGCACCTTCAACTGGCGGGACGCATAGGCTATCACCTTCCGATCCTGCATCAAAAACCAACCCAACCCCTTGTAGGAAGTGTCACTGAATACCTTAAATTTCCCTAAGGGATCTGCGATGGTTAGTATAGGAGCAGAGGTCAACCACTGCATCAACTCTTGATAACAGTCTTCACACTTTTGTACCCTCACAAAAGGTGTTCCCTTTCTAGTAAGGCGAGTAAGAGGCAATACAACAACAAATTGATCCAAAAAGGTTTAAAGATCTTGTTTATGTAATCCATGAACACCGCTGGAGCATTGATGAGTCCGAAAAGAACAACCCGGTACTCATAGTGCCCATAACAGGTTCCGAAGGCGATTTTCAGAATATCCTCAGTTCGAATCTGAATCTGGTGATATCCCAACCTCAGATCTATCTTAGAAAACACTCGCGCACCCCTAAACTGATCCATCAAATCATCTTTCCTACGGAGAGGATACACATTCTTCATTGTTACCTTGTAGATCAAGATGTCATCGAGGAATACAACAACAACAAATTGATCCAAAAAAGGTTTAAAGATCTTATTCATGTAATTTATGAACATCGCTGGAGCATTGATGAGTCCAAAAGGAACCACCTGGTACTCATAGTGCCCATAACGGGTCCTTTCTGATCTCATAGTCCATTACTACTTTTTTGCAATATATGACAGCTAAATCAAAACATGTACTCATGCAGTCGATTTTCTTAGTTATATAAATTTGCAATCTTAAATCTCTCTGCTATTGCATATCCATCAAATGATATGGAATCAAGAGCATACGAAACTATTTTTAAATCAATTAAATTGTATTAGTTTAACTTGATATTTTAGTCTTTTCCTTTGTTGAAACTGGATTTTAATTTCAATGTAGTTTACAACTTGAGCCTGCCAAATCATTTACATTTTTAATTTATCTTATGTGTTCCAAATCTTTCTAGAGCCTCATGCTGAAAATACTACCTTTTGTAATAGGCGGTGATATAGCAGGAGAGGTCATGGAGGTTGGTCAAGTTGTCAAAAAGTTCAAACCTGGTGACAAAGTTGTAGGCCATGTTGACCCCAATGTAAGTCTTTTCTATTAATAGATCATATCTTTGAAGATTTTATTGTAAAAGAGAATTCTTAGGGAATTTTAAATCTTATGCTTTGTTCTGAAATCTTTCAAATTTTCCTTTAATTAGCATTTTAGTCTTTGTTCAAGTCCGAAATTATCATATTTCATTTATCCAAAACTTTCTATTATTAGTTCCGTACTAATTATTTCTTGTATCTTATTGTGCATGAACATATTTAGTGATCTAAAAATTGCATTTGATCTTATTTTACTTGTTACTTCTATTAATTAAGTAATTGATGGTGGTGTTTATCATAAATGATCTGTGAACATAATGTATAATGTAGCGATCCCATTTTGGTTGTATAGGCAAATAGTGTGGAGTTTATAAAGCCTTGAGCCCTTCCACCATTGTAGGGGACCTTTGAGATCACCATCCCAAAATCTAGCTCAAAGGGTAGAAGGGCTTAAGGCTTTTATAAATCCCACACTAATTGCCTATACAACCAATCTGGGATCCTTACATATAAGTTGGATTCTGGCATTTTGAGACTAAAAATAGTTTATCGCACAAGTTATCCCAATTTAAATCTACGCAAACACTCTACATCACTAATTACTATGTTTCTTTTGTCTATGGTCTATTTCTTCTTTTATTTTTAAATTATAAACAGGAAACAAAAATCCTAATACATGTGTATTTAAGTTATCTGATTCCTGCATTTGACTTTACTACACTTCAAGAAATGATACAAAGATGTTATGAATGTATCAGAGTACAACTTGGATGGGTTAAATACTTTTTAAGTTTTTATGAGTAATATAAGTCTTTCCTAATACTTGTTCAGCTATGGCTTGCAATTTATCAAAGAAAAGTCTTGTTTTTATATCAAACCACTCTCCATTAAACCCCGACTAACGAGGATGGGGTGAGACCAATACTTGTATGCAGCCTTACACTTGCATAATTGCAAAGAAGCTGTTTCCCGGATTTAAACATGTGATTTTTCAGTCACAAAGGAATAGTTTTACCACTGTTCCATGCTCGCACTCTTAAAAGTGTTGTTTTATAATTCATGAAATTTTATTATGGTAGACTGGTGGAGGACTAGCTGAGTTTGCTGTTGCTAAGGAGAGTGTCACTGCTTTGAGACCATCAGAAATCTCGGCATCTGAATGTGTTGGCTTACCTGTTGCTGGTCAGACAGCTCTCCAGGCAATCACCGAATCCATAGGGATCAAACTTGATGGAAGTGGTGAAAGGAAAAACATCTTGATCACTGCTGCATCAGGTGGTGTAGGTCTCTATGCAATTCAACTGGCAAAGCTGGGAAACACTCATGTAACAGCCACATGTGGAGCTCGCAACATTGAATTGGTCAAAAGTTTAGGGGCTGATGAGGTACTTGACTATAAGACCCCAGATGGTATTGCTTTGAAGAGTCCATCTGGTAAGAAATATGATGCAGTGATCCACTGTGCAGTTGGAATTCCTTGGTCCACCTTTGAGCCTAACTTGAGCAAGAATGGAAAGGTTATAGACATATCTCCTACCTTTCGTTCCATGGTGACAGTTGCTTTGAAGAAACTTACCTTCTCCAAAAAGCAACTTGTGCCTGTGTTTTTAAGTCCAATGAGTAAGAGCCTTCAATATCTTGTTGATTTGGTCAAGGAAGGAAAGCTTAAAACAGTTATAGACTCCAAATATCCTTTAAACAAGGCTGAAGATGCCTGGGCTAAGAGTATTGATGGTCATGCTACTGGGAAGATAATTATTGAGTTCTAGATATTAATTACATAATAATACTGCTCCATAAACTCTGTAAAGTTGTACACTTCATTATATGAAATAATTCAGGAATGCCTTGTAGTTTTACATTGGTATGACATGAGTCACGTATCATTTGTTGTGTCCCTAGAAACTAACAACAAATGAATGGATCTCATTTTATTGGGAATAAAAGTTGAGGCTTCACTGATATTATGTACTGTGTATATCATAGACGATGATTGGATTTATGTTGTTGGTACTTTAAATATGTGACTTTTGTTTCAAAAAGGAATGATTTCAAGTGGCATGCAGTTCAGAAGTTAACTGCTTGATCTAGTACTAAATATTTTTATGTGGTTTCAACTTGAAGTTCACTCCAAACCACAAAGTTGGATAAAAAGGACTCCTTCCTTGGAAATGTGAAGTGTGTAAAAATGGTACACATGCAATAAAGTTGCTCAAATTTTCCTTGCCTTAAAAACACACAGGATATAGAAAGTAATCAAGAGAGAGATTCTTATGAGTTATGAGAGAGTAGACAAAGATGGAGAAATATTGTTCCGGAAAGGATGCACTAATTTGATTTTAGTTAGGCTGTGTTTTAAGTGTTTATATTGATAAATCAAGTGAAGTATAACTAAGCTAATCAAAGTTGGTTTATAATTGATAGGATTGATTTGCGTCAGCACAAAGGTCTCAGGTTCAATTGTTCTTGATGAAATCCCCAGTGACACATCATTCAGCAACTTTTCCTTTCCTAAATTTTTTGGTTTGTCCAAGGTGAAGTACACAACTTATGTGACCCAGTCAAACACACTTGAACATATACTAGCATTCTCAAATATAAATGAAACTAATTCTAATGGCTTAGTAATCTTTTTAAAACCTTTGACTATTATAACAATTTTACGAAATATTAAACTCTTCACACGATTGAATGATAAATGATTTTTATCTTTAAAGTATTATAACTAAGGCTTTAACGTTTCTACAGTGAATGTAGATAAGTTATCTATATTTGCTCTCAAAACGATATCGTTTTGGGTTGAAAAATTAAAAAACTATAATGAAAAAGACTATTATAATCCTGAAATAAATTATAATTACAAAAATATCTTGATTTCCGCCGTCGTTTTAAGCTCAATGTATTTATTGACGGTAGAAAAAGCGAACCCAACTAACTAAACTGCTAAAACTTTAAGTAAAATGTTTTAATTTTAATTTACTATCAATTAAAAAAAACGATATTGTCTAGTCAATAATGTGTTATTCTTTGCGAGTTTTACCTAATGATGAGCTCGCTGAGCTGATTAGCTTACTCACAATTCTTGTTCCTAACACTCAGTTGATACGCTAAGAAAACGATTATGTTTCTTATCCGAGAGTTAATTAAAGAAAGTCATAGTTTGCTCTCTGAAATTAGGGTCAGCTTAAAGTTGGCAAGTTGAATAAATAAAATAAAAAATAAAAAACCCTTGAAAAGTGTAATTTGATGCAATGATTAAAATGCAAGGACTAATTTATCAAAAAAAAAAAAATGCAAGGACTAAAACATAAATAGCAGAATTATGAAATATGATACCAGATTGAAAGAAAATGACTGAATGTAAAGCCAATAGTTGAAATTAAAGGTACGACGTGTAAATTGAGATAAATAACTTGATATTGATGTGTTGTTATCTTGTGATGTTCTTCAGAATTGAGTATACAACTACTACTTATATATATAATATATCCCTACTAAAAGTACGTGTCACGCTATTAATCCCTGTAATTGACTAACTCAATTATGATTAGAATTTAGAAGTAATTTAACATCTAGAGATAGCTTCATAACTATATGTTTGAAACTGGTTCAATTGTTCCTATTTTTAAGGAGATGGTTTCCATCACCTCTTTACTTGGTCAATGCTTCAGTTAATGGATAGTTATTTAGATAATTAAGGCTCAAAATCCATTAACTCATTAATAGAGGAGGAAAAGTGAGCAGTTCGTTCCGTCATTAATCTGTCAAAAAATAAATCACTTCATTTCATTCCTCTTTTGAGAGTGATTAAAAAATTTAACCCGTCCCGAACTTGTTTTACATTAAAAAAATAATCAAAAAACTCGGTCCCGCAAGTTGGCGGATTAGGCTGGGCGAGCTAAGCGAATTGAGTGGATTGTAAAATTCAGCCTATCCCATTTTATTTAGAGGGCGAGTCGGCCCGTCAGGCCGATTTTATTTTGCCAGCCTTACTTCTTGCACATAATCCACTAGATCCAACTAATATAAACTTAGGCTTGTTAGCAATTTGGTCTTACTAATTAAGTTCAATGGACTAATTGTTTTTATAATGAAAAAAAAAATTAAAAGTTTCTTAGAGAAGTCTTTTTAAGTTGTATGTTAACTTTTTCGAGTTTTTGTATTTATATTTCAATTTTAATCTTATATATTTATAAATTTTATTCTTTATCCTGCAGATTTACTTTAATGACAAATTATTCATCTCTCTCCTAAACAACTTTATTAATTTACCGAATAACTTTTAATTTTAATTTTAGCTTAAAAATAACTTTTAAATTAAAAAAAATACCCCGAACAAACTGCTAGGAAGTATGGGAAACCTGATAATAATAATAAAAAGAAAGAAGGATTAGCTGAATGTAAAATGTTTCTTACACACTACTTTCTTCACACTATTCGTTACAAGAAACAAAAAACAAAAACAAAAAAGGAGTGATGGAAAGTATGTTTAAGGTTCACGGGTTTAAATTTAGAAGAATTTTCTCAAATCTAAGAGTTCAACATCAGTGAAGATACAACCTTTTTTTTTTTTGTATCTGATCACTGAAGATACATTCAAGAGTCTAAACAATCAAACATATAAAATATTCAACTTTGCAATATTTGAATGTTTTATGTACTTGCTTGTTTAGAGTCTTCAATACGCAATAATTGAGAACTAGGGGCCGAAATAATAAAATAAAACTAACACCAGTTGCGAACTGGGGGCCGAAATCACGTCTATTGTCGGTGGCAACAAAATTAAATATGCAAAGTTCAAACATAATGTTGCTGCCACATTGCTTATGAAAGTGCACAGCAAATACATGAACCTCAAAATATGACTCTAGTTTTACTTTATTTATACTTACGAACAGTTCTTCTGGGATCTGGATCCTCTAATGTGAAAATTCACATGACTATATAATATGGGGAATCATAACCATACAAAGGTGGATCAATAGTAAAAATGGAGGAGAGAAAAAAAATGATAAAATAGGTAATTACGAAATCATAACCGTTGATTTACCTTTGTATGATTGTGATCTTCACACATAGATCCATTTCCGTTCTTCTGATATTTCAAAGCCAACACATGAATCTCCAATTGTATTCAAAACAGACCTGCACCAAGCACGTTGACCAAGAGGGAGAATTTCCTGTTTTAAGGTTAATTTTGTAACACAATGAACTAGAGTTGTCATAGAAAATATATAGTGCCATGTGCTTAATTAATAATAGCTGGATTCAGGTTCATCAATAATTTACCAAGATGCACCAGATTTCATTTTTTTTTTCATTAAGAACTCCTTAATTAAACTAAAATTTCTCAGGAAAAAAAACAATGGAATAAGATATTCATTTTCATGAGTGGTAATATGAACCCCAAATGGATAAATTATCAAAAGGGTAGGGTTCGAATCCTAAAAAATACTTTTAGGCCACAAATAAATAATTGTATTTGTAATGATGGATTCAGGATACTCACCCCAAATAAGAAATTAGGGGCATAGAATGAAAACAAAATAAAATAAAAAAACTGACCTTAACCAATTCTTTAGTGCACCAGATCAGACCTGCACCAGAGACAAGCCTGAACTAAAACCAAAGGTCCAAAACTAACACAAGTTATGAACTAGGAGCAGAAATCATAAAATAAAACCAATTGGGACTTAATTCCCAAATTTCAGCACCAAGAGAATTGAAGAATGCAAGCTAATAGAGAAATTCAGTCCAATCTAAAAGAAAACCTCTCTTATATACAAAAATCCCATAATTAAATTCTAAATTTATATGAATATTTTTAATAATATCATCTAATTTTACTTTTTACTTTTTACTTTTTCTTATTAAATTTTAATTCTTAAAGCTAACATTAACTTTGTTAGCATCCTCTTAATTACATTTTATTTACCTAATTTTTAAACTCATATATTTGCTTTCCTTATTTATATGTTTATTTCTTGAGTATTTCTATCCCAATTGAATTTTGAATTTAAACAAATTCTTTCAATAACAGTACTTTTTTTATTTATTTTTTTCATATTAAATTTAATTTTGTTATCATTGACCTTATTTAATTATTGATTTTCCATAAAATTAAGATGATGGTGACCTATGAAGCACTGACACTTCAAAAATCCTGACGTGTCGTGTTCGACACTCATCGACACTTACCGATACTCCGACATTTTTCGATACTCCAATACTAGTTGCAATGACTCAAAAAAGGTTCAAAAGTTACATTGTGTTACATTTTGAGTTCCAACTATTAGATTTGTTAGATTACAATTACGATTTATTGAATTTAATGTAAACATTTGAGATATATTATGTTTTTTTGCAAAATTGATGGGTATTATAAGTTTAGCTTTATTTTATGGGATAGGTTATTCTACCTATCATTTTTTCTGCATACATTTGCCTACCACCCTCCAACACCGTTAGATCAGAATCTCAAGAAGAAAGAAAAAGATAAATGTTAGTTAAGATTATGATCTAATGGTGTTTTAAAATGGTAGGCAAAAGTAGACAGAAAAAATGATAAATAAAATAATCTATGACTTATTTTATTGTTAAATTATTGAATACTAAATATAATATACACTACCTAAATTAAAATATTATATAATATCAAAACATGTTGTGACATATCAAAATTCATTATTTTTTAAAATTAACGTATGTCGTGTTATATCGTATCTCATTTACCGTATCGGTGGAACATAGGTGGTGACATGTGACATGCCATTTTCTTAGCCAAGAAGGTAACTTAATTAATTTATTCTGACTTAGCTAGAACGCATAGGGGCAAGCTCTCTATACTCCATAACCGTTGAATAGAAGAGCACAAGGAATTAAGCAAACCAACCATAGCATCAGCATCATCATCATCATGGGTGGTGATTCCATTGTTTCTCATGGTATTTTTGCTTTCTGGGTCTTTTTTATTTTCCCTTCTCATGCTCTTAACTGTGCAAAAGCTTCAATCTTTTCCTCTCATTTTTTATCCTTTTTACCTTTAAATTCCAAGAAGGAAACATGGGTTTATGTGTTTGACCAAATTACCAACATACGCAATGCTCAGGTACAGATGAAGATTCTTGTTTGGAGGAGGATTCTCCCTTGATTTCTTCTCACTCCCCACCTGCTCTCAGGTACTTTGTGAATTGTGATTATCAGTGGCAACAGTTCATGTTTAAATACTTTGAATTTCCTCAAAGCTTGTTCAGGTGCTGTTACAAATGTGGTACAAGATAGAAGGATGAGAATACTATATATGCTTGTTTGTTTTACAATTATAATTATAATTATGCCTGAAAAATCCTATTGATTATTAATTATTTCACTTTGTTATTTTAATATTTCTGAAAAAAAAATAGAAGAAGCTATAAATGTGTAGAAGAAAAAAAAAATTGTGCAAACAAACATTTTGAACATACATTATATTCATAGGGGATTCTACCCTTTTATCAATAAATGATGTTTTGAAATTTTAAAGTGTATATTAAAATATTCTTCAAACATTTTTAGTGATTGGCTTTTCTGTTTGCAAAGTCTTGTTAGGATAGCAATTATTGGTTCACAAGAAATGGTAATTAGTCAGTATATACCACAGAATGACTTAAGAGTCACATTGATGATATATCATTTTGTCCTGTGAAGGGTAATTTGCAAGACTTTAACTAGATGTTGTTTTAGTAGTTGCTCTGCATTTAAGGTTCTAGGGTTTAAGTTGATTCCTGTACTTATTTATCCTCTTTTTGTTATCATTTGGTTGACATTAGTATTCTGACAGTGACACGGTGATGTTTTGTGAGTTCTATTGTTTCAGGGATAGGATGGGCTTGCAGGATGAAGACACTAGAGTGAATGGGGAGAATGGGTTAGTTTTTGGAGAAATTGATGAAGAAAGTACACCGCCTTCTTCAAGGGTTGATTTTCAAGTCAATGAAAGGAAAAGGCTTAGTATCTACCAAGAAATCCTGCAAAGTTATGATGAACTGAAGATTAATAGCAAGAATTTGAAAGAGGCAAAAGAAAAAATCTTGAGGTGTTGATTTGAAGTCAAATTTCATTATCTACTTACCTATATCTGTTTTAATTTTAAATTTTCCAAGTTGTTTGTAATTATTTTGAAATTCATTGTTTAAACATAGATAGTTTACAGCATCCTCTTTGGAAATTTGATCTCTGATTAGTTAATTGAAAAAAAGGATAAAAATGTCCATCGTAATTTTTTCTTGTAATTGTTTTGAAACTCCTTGAAAAAGGAATGGAGGGCATCAGTCAAAAGCATCAACCTCAGGTCGCTTATTGGTCTTGTATTATGTGCTGTCTCATTTTGTGCTTCCCACCATGTTTGATTAATGCAGGCCTCTGCCTATATTTTTCTTTCTTACCCTTATCTTCTATGATTCATTTGATGAGAATTTGAAATTCTTTAGTTATGTTATTGAAATTGTGTATGCAGTTCATTCTAAAATCAACTTTTGCATGTTTCCTAAAGGATGTTTCTTGTGAGCGTGATATGAAACCTCAAAAGTTTTAATATTGAGTATTTCATATATGGTTGTTTCATTGTCACAGCTATAGGCCTGGATCATGGATAGAGAAAGTTGGTGGCTTAAAATTATGTGATTATGATATACCAAAGACAACATGCCTCATATTGGTCGGTCCAAGTGGATCTGGGAAAAGTAGTCTCATAAATAGAATCTCTAAGGTGTTTGAGGATGACAAATTTGCACCAGCGAGGGCACAAGTATCATGTATAATTTTTACCACTTCAACTTTGATGTCAATTTGAAGAATGAAGAAGTAATTTCATAGTATATATCTTTGTTAAGTAAAAGTAAGTCACTGTTCATTCTCCTAAGAAATTTCCATTACATTTATCTTTTGATGCCAGCTAATTCACTGATGGGCAATGGAACATATTTCCTCCGGGAGTACCTGATTCCAAGAGACTCAAATTCTATCTGTGTGTATGATACGCGTGGTTTGTCAGATAATTCACATGAGAATGAGAATAATAGAATGCTGAAGAGTTGGATGACAAAAGGAGTTCGACATGGAGAGCTTGTTGTCAGGTTTGAATATTTAATGTACTTAACATTCCCAATTGACTCGTATGTTAATATTTACATCTACAAATCACGTATCAGGAAGACAGATAATCAGAGATTGAGGAAAAGTTTGAAGTATAAAGCCCACAAGAAAGGTTTCTTTTCCAGTAAGAGCAGAAAAGTTAATTATGTAATATATGTTGTTAATGGCCTTTCGGTTTTGAAAGCAATGGAGAATACTGGTGCTTTAGAGACACAGTACACTGAAACAATTGTTTCTACTTTCAATAGCCCGTTCCTGTCCTTTAAAGGTATATTTGCAAAACTAGCTTCTATGTTTTCCTTTTTATGTATTTGATGGAATTATAGAACTGTTTTCATTTTACTTCTTTTTCTTTAGCATATATATTCATAGAGATGGGTGTTCTTGTTCATTTTCTAGTAGGTAGTCAGCTTAGTATTGTACACCTAAAGATGTTGCTGAACTTTTCAAGACGAGTTTTATTATTTCCTAAAGTGGGTTTATTTATTTATTTTTTTGTTGTGGGTGTGGGGGCTGAGCATGCATCAACAGCTTCAGCCTACTAGAAAGAGAGAGAAAGTATTGTTTTACTTCCGCTTGGGGTGCTTGAATGGGGTCTCTTATCAGGTCAAATCCTACTTTGATTTTTCTTTTTCTTTTTCTTTTTTGTTTAAAAGAACCGTCATGAAAGTAGTGTGGCACAAACAAGTTCGATCTAACTCGGGGTAGAGGGAGAAATACAAAATTGGTAACGGCATCTTTGGTAGCACTTTTATGATAAGCCTTATGAAGGAAGACTTGGCCTTATTAACAGACATCCTTCCATCCAAGAGTTGAGGCTAAATACTGTGATTACCTGGTCCTATGTACTTTAAAATCTTTTCTATTTGTATTTCAGTCATATTTTTTTATGAAACCCAAAATTACAGAACTGATTTTATTGCTCCAATGAAGGCATAGCCTCTTTTTACAAACACTGATTGACACTAAAGACTAGCTCACCCTTTTAGAACCAACAAACCTAGGCTCTAAGAGATCCCCAATTCCCCCAATATTCATTCAATACATGCATACCTTACACCATCCATTCCCCCTCCCTTTATCCTATCATCGAAGAATATTCTATAAGAATTCCCTAACTAATTAACTAACCCGTTCACCACTTTCAGGCCCATTTTTCTACTTCATGTCTCGGTCTGTTGTATATCTCATCTAAGCTTGGATCTTAGTATCAACTTTGAAAGATGATTTTAAGGCATTATGATACGCTTTTGAGTGCATTCAAATCAATAAATATTGCACGTAGAGGAAATATAAACTTACCTAGCTTGCACCATGAAGTTCTACTTTGACAAAAAGGGAACTCGAAAAAGCAGCATTTTGTCATTTGAAAATTTATACTTTTGATAATTTTCAGTATGAAAAATGCGTTACTTTTTTTTCCATCCTTCTCTTAACCCTTGAAATCTTAGGTACAGATGCATAATAGTCTGACTGTCCTGATTATTTTCTACTATATTTCAGACATCTTTTAGTTCCATGTAAACTCCGTTTGAAAGTGATTGATAATTATTGTGGTAGTGTGGGGAGTTATGTACATGCACTTGTGTTATGTCCTCTCTTTGGATTTATTTTATTTTTGAGATAATTAAGATGATATACTTTGAAAGTAAATTAAGTTTAGTTTGTATAATGCAACTGCATGTCAATTCAAAATTTTGCATTACCATCTAATTTAGATGTGGGAATTTCATATGAAATATGCATGATTTCATGTCTAAAATGATAACAAAGTGTTAGCCACCCGACTTTAGGAATGTGAAACAGGAAGTGTTCACTACACTTATCACAGAATGTTGACATGGCAAGGGGATTGAGAAGGCAAGGAAGGAGCGGATGTTTATCAGAGATAAAAGGTGAAGGGAGAGGAAGAGAGGCAGGCAGAAATCGAGTGGTAGTTGGGCCTTTGGGCAGTGAGGACGTAGGACCCTTGAAGAGCCTGCATTTCTATCTTTCTCTTTTCATTTTGTTAGAGATGTATAAAACCATTAAGGTAGCCTCACCCAACCGCTTAAGCTTTTGGGTTGGATTGGTTCTTTATATGGTATCAGAGCCTCGTGTTCCGAGTTCAATCCTCACCACTCCTCACTTTCTCTTGTGAAATTTCTTAGCACAAGTAGGTGGGCCTGTGCATTATCCACCCTTCATGCCCAGTGAACTCTCGTGTGAGGGGGCGTATTAGAGATGTATAAAACCATTAAGGTAGTCTCACCCAACAGCTTAAGCTTTTGGGTTGGATGGGTTCTTTACACATTTTCTTTTATGTGAATTATAATGTAAATCCATGCTTTCTGTTATTGATATTGGCAGGGCATGAGTTCTGGTGTGAATACAATTAAGATTTTCAACTGTAATTACCAGTTTCTATCACGGGGCAGATAAAGTGTTATAAAACTGAGACAATTATGAACAATTTTCATCATGACTACTTTTGATTCCCATATAATTTCTTCCAATTGTTTAATCCTAATAGTTTCTGGCACTTGGAACGCTTTCAATGTTTTGTTTCTTGCCATCAACAATTTAAAGAGTCAATTCCAGTAGAAATTCAAAAGACACTTCTTGTACAAGCGTTACATTTTAAAAAGTTACATTTTAAAATTTGTGCATTGTATTGTCTGAACGTTTATGCAAGGCTATCTATGTATAATATATTTTCCATTGGTTAAAGTTCTCTGAAGTGTTGGTGTAGTAGCTCTTACATAAATGTATTGTGTAAATTGAAGAGTACTTATTACTGTTTACCTTTGATGCTCATTGACAATAGTGTGCTTATATCTCTCTTCATCTGATATACTCATTTTACCAAAATACAATTCTCTGTTGTCAATCTGATACTTCATTTCTATTACTTTGCAGATGACAAACCTGTACTTGTTTTCACTCATGGGGATCTACTTTCACTCTCTGACCGTGCTCGTGTCCGTGCACATTTGGGATTGTTATTAGGAATTCCACCAACAAAACAAATTTTTGACATCCCAGGTACCCTTTCAAGTTATATCCCTTCCTTTCATTGAATATTCTTTGATGTCAATTAAGTTTACAGAAATTTAATAATTTCTTATCTGTACTGCAGAATGTGATGATCTAGTGACTGAATCTGCCATAATTGAAATGTTACGCTACAGTCTTGAGCACGCTGACAGAAATTTTCCTCAGAAAAACAAAGTTATGGATAAGGTTTGTGTTATTTTTCCAAGCTTATAGCTCCAATGATAAGCTGATAACAAAATTTTGAACTTCTTTCCTTCTTTTTTTCTATCTGGTTTTAATTATGGGAAAAACGTTTGTCCTTTTAAAGTATAGAATTTTGTGTCATTTTAAATGAAACGACGTCATTTTGGTACATAATTGGTAATTTTTTACATTCTCTCTCCTCAATAAAATTAGGAAGAGAGAGAAAGTGGAGGAGAGAGAATATAAAAAATTACCAATTATACACCCAAAACGAAGTCGTTTAATCTAAAATGATTTAAAGTTATATCCTTTAAAAGGACAAACGTTTTTTCCATTAATTATCTTACAATATTTCCAGATCCTATTTCACAACTTAAGTTGATAGGGAGTGGATCCTCTCATGTGAAAAAGTAGTCATGTTATTTAATCACAACCACTCATTGGTGATGAGATAAGAGAGAGAAAAGTGTATAATTTTAAATAAGTGGTTGTGATCAAATAACATGACCACATGACCACTTTTCCACATGAGAGGATCCATTCCCAAGTTGATATGACAGGTTAATATCCTCTGTAGATCTTGTTATAAAGCATGCTTTATGGATCTGAAGTGTGTTGTTATCATTCTAATGAATCTTGGGCTTTTTTGGCCTTAATTTATTAGGGTATTGTTACTTAAATAGCGTTAATTTCTATTCCTAAATGCTTTTTAGGGTTTTAAGATATTAACTGGTTGCACTCTTCATTTGATAGTTTCTATTTTTGATTTCTCAACCTGTGTCTTAAGGGCACAAGTTAACAAAACCCTATTTATTGTTCTGAAAAAGCTATATGCATACAGCACAAAATGGGAATTTGCTGGTGGTTTAATATTTTTCCATGATCCTAGCATATTATATTGTTGAGAATTTGCTATCTGACAGTGCCAAAAAACCTCTATAAGTTTGCTAACGGATCGTGCTTTGTTTCAGGTTCACAAAATATCTCTATCATTATGCATGATTTTGTTGATCCTAGGAATAGGAGTTGTCATTGCCTTGGCACAAAATAAGTTCATACACCAGTGTCATGCCCCTCAACAGCAAGCTCCTAGTAAAAAAGTTCATGCCACACGTCCAAAACTCAAAGTTCCTGGGAAGATACCCAAAATAGAGTGGCATAAAATTCGGCACATATGGTAGCTGTGAATGGTGCTGATATGGCTCGTCTATATTGTATATATAATCTGGTATCAAGCTAGGCGAAAAGATGTGTAATTTAGAAGCACTTTGTTACTATTGAATTAACAACAATAAGCATGTGTATCTGTTGTTTTTGCTCCATCAGGCTTCATCAAATAAAGGCTTTTCTAATTTATGTGTAATAGTAATTTTACAATAATATGTGGTTGAGTCAGGAGAGGAAGAGCCTCTACGAGATCATCTTTTGTACATTTGTAGTATGTACATCTGCTATTCAACAAATGACATTTGGATAAGAAAAATATTTTTCTCTTCTTTCCATATAAACATGACAGTCATTCTTTATTTTTTTATTGGATAGATACACTGAGTGAATGGTACAATAGTAGTACTATAGATATTTTCAGCCTCTACCAATGATTAAGTTATTTTATTTTATTTTTGCTAATGAGGTCGCATAAAAGGATGCAGTCATCCTTTCTTTATTATTTGGGATTTAATGGGGAACGATTTTAATGTAATTGAATTAGATTCAAAGCTAATCTTTTTTTTGAAAAGAAACCGAAAATTTTCTTGTTTTCCGTGATTGTTGATTGTTGTTGTCCATCATTTAATAGGGTTCTATTATTTCTGTATTTCATGATGGGTTTTATTGTTTAATGAGCTTATACAATATGATTGGGAAACAAATCCAACACCATTGTTGAAGATACCTATTTCTTGTTACCTTGTGGTTTCTCTTAGCTTTACTCTTCCTTGCTTAACCACTGACGCGGTTAGAAAAATATAATATAAAAATATGACATTTACTTGATATTAAGTTTTTGAGTTAAAATAATTCTTGACATAATAGCAAAGCTTCCGTGATCAAGTGAACTTACTTTAACATAGATAAGCATCATTATATATTGTTCATCCTTCAAGTCCAAAAGACCCTTATGTAAGTGACATATTAGAGAAATATAAAAATTATTAATATGACATTTTATTAGACACATTACCAATAAAGTAATCAGAATTGATAACAATAATTCTAACTTCAACATCAATAACATTCTAGGAGCAAAGTCTGCCATTATGTAGATCTAGAGACAGCACTGGTATAATAAGCATGTAGAAGACTCGAGAAGACAGAGATCAAGATCTGACTGTCAATCATTAGAAAAATTTCTGACTGTGAATGTGTCATACAAGCAAAAATTTGAGCAACTTAAAAATTTCATGAGAATTACCCATAAAAGGATATCTTCTGCTGAACACTGCAGATAGTGAAATTTCAAAATGCAAAGAATGATTGTAACTAATGCTAAATTATTTCAAATAAGCTCAAACAAGAATCATTGCCCTCCGGAAGATGTAGGATTTGGAATACTCTGCAAGAACGAAGCCCTTGCGCTAAAATCTGTCGAAAATCGTCCTAACACAGCAATGGTAGCTGTACTACTTCCAAACTTCTCAATTCCCCTAGAAATCATACATGTGTGGCTTGCCTCTACAACTACTATGACATCTCCACCTAACAATGGGGAAATGGTTTCAGCTATTTGCCTTGTAAGCCTTTCCTGAACTTGGAGCTTGAAACCATAAAAATGTACTATTGATAGTAAAAGAGATTTTCCAATAGGAATAAATCCATCAGATAAGAGGTATCCTATGTGAACAACACCATGAAATGGAAGTAAGTGATGTTCACATTGTGACCAAAAAGGCAAGTTCAGCTCAGTGTATATTTTTTTGTCTTTGTAGTTAACCTCCTCATTGACTTTTAAAGAATCCATCCCACCACAAAGAAAACCATTAAGCTTCATATCTAAGTTACTATGTTGAAAGTTCATCAACCATTTCACAAAACTACTTGGAGTCCCTCTAAGCTCCTTCCTCAATGGATCTTCTCCCAAAGATTTGATAATTGAAGCTACTGCAGTGATCATTACGGGATTGAGTGGTCCGATTTTGGAGGAAACTTTGACAGAAAGAGAAGACTGAGAAGGACACCAGCATGTATAAGATGATCCTCTAAAATGAATTTTTTCCGTATTAATACCTCTAAATTTAAGAAGACTATAGAAATCAGCCCATACATCTGCATTATTGTTTTCAAAAACCCCAGAACCTGAGGAAACAAGTATCTTCACCCATCCTTGGTGGTTTGAGTCAAGAAAGACTGATTCTATGTCTGGAAAGTGGATATGTGTACATTGAAGTATGACGGCAACACCTGCCGGCTTTATTCCCTGATGCAAAGCAGAACATACCTCATCTGCGAGACGTTGAGGTTCTTGGAGTCGTTTTGCAAATACATCAGCAACACGAGAGAGCTTACTTAAACCGACAACTCTTTCACCAGAAGGTACATAACCCACATGACACTTGACCTGGAATGGAAGCAAGCAGGACTCACAATAGGAAAACAAGTCAAGATCTCGGACAATCACAAGTCCACCTGCTCCACCTGCATGACCAACTCTATTCTCTAAACCAGCTTCAGGGAATAAAGCACCTTGAACAATGTCCTTCACCTTTTGTCTGTAACCTGGAAGAAGATAGATCTCCTTATGGTTAGTTATAATATTATTCAAGAAAGTATGATAATTTTTAATTTAATACAATGCCACAGGGACATACTCGTGAAGGAAATGTATATAGAAAGGTAAAACATATAAAGCAAGAAACCAAAGTGGAGGAAGAAATACACTTCTCATTTACAAGTGCAGCAAACTGCAGCTGGTCACAGAAGTCGGCTATCAAATAGAATCATTATTGTCGGGTGGTTATGTAATGCAGAGAAAAAAAAAATGAAACTGGAAGCCAAAACCTTTCCTCTCAACTACAAACATGCACCGATGCATGCCTACATAGACAACTATAATTGCATGCGTACATAGACAACTATAATTCGCAATGCCAGTGGGTAATAAAAGCCTCCCCACAACAGCAGCACAGAAGCACGGTCAAGGAATGCATAAGCTGAGCAAAAGAGAGAAACAGAAAATGCATCTAGCAACTGCCTCAATCAATGGGATTGAAGATACCTTTTCGACCAGAAGTTAGTCCCTCAAAAACAGATGGAGAAATGAATAGTTACCACATAAAAACAAGCTTAGATCAGTACTTTAGTGCAATTTCATGAGATTCAGATATGAAATAAATGATTATCTCTTTGGTAATACTACCTTAAGAAAAAAAAGAATGACTTAATGCAATCTACTTTCAAGCTTGAAAATGATAATCTATACATAATAACAGAGAACAAACCAAGGCCATTAAATTTACAGGACATAAACAAATTAAGGTTATCCAATAGAACTGAAATGTAATTGATATAGAAGAAAAAATTAATTCAAGTAAACCAAAAACTTGACAACCAACAGTAATTCAGACACTGTTTGCTGAGGCTGGCTTAACACATCAACATTTTTAAAGAACCAATTCAACCGAAAAGCTTAAGCTGTTGGGTGAGGCTACATTAATGGTTTTATATGTCTCAACACGCTCCCTCAGAAGAGAGCCCATTGGGCTTGAAAGATGGATGACACAACAGGCCCACCCTAACTGTGCTAAAAAATTCCACAAGAGAAAGTGGAGGCGGCGAGGATCGAACCCGGGACACGAGGCTCTTATACCATGTAAAGAACCAATTCACCCCAAAAGTTTAAGCTGGTGGGGCAGTGTGGGTTGTTTCATCCTTTGATACAATAGTTTGGGTGTCCCAGCTTTGCGTACTTTTTGTCTATCAATAAGAGGCATGTCACATGAGGAATCAGATGAATTTTCAGCCTCAGCAGTTAAGTCTTTCTTCTCATTGTCATGTAGTGTAACTACTGGAGTAGAATATGTAGGTAACAGAAAGGGAGACTCAGACTCGAAGAAAATGGATGAAGCTTCTATACTATTCTCCTCCTGAAGCTGAGGGTGTAGAAAATAAGACTCAAATTCATGGAAGCTAACATCCATAGAGACAAAGAATTTACGACTTGGAGGGTAGTAACATTTGTATCCTTTCTTGTTGGGAGCATAACCAAAGAAGACACACTTAAGGGCTCTAGGCTCTAATTTACTCTGATGTTGTTTATGGATATGGATGAAGGCAACACATCCAAAGATACGAGACTGGAGACTTTGCATAATTGGAATAGAAGGGAAAAAAGAGGTCATGAGATCAACAGGACTTACATGGCCAAGGACTCTGGAAGGCATTCGGTTGATCAAATAGGTTGCAGTTAATAAGGCTTCTCCCCAGTAAGAGTTGGGTACAGATGTCTGAAACAATAATGCTCTGATGAACAGTATGTGTGAACAGTACCGATGAACAGTACACATGAACAGTGCGCACGAACAGATACGTGTGAACAATACCGGTGAACATTACTCTTTTTTAAAGTTGTTTCGGTCGTCTGATGAAAAAGAAACCTCCATAGAATAATAGATATGAGAAAACTGAGTGAAACAGGGGTCCTCACGGTCCAAAAGGTCCCCAGAAAAAAAATTTCCGACGGCGGCTTTGTGGCGGCGAGAGGCAAATAGGGTTTTATATATCTCAACAACATTATTTAACAAACTATTCGCTTTCCCTCTACAAATGCTGATGTTGGACAGTCTAATGGTGTGTCACGCTAGAAACGTTTAAGATAAAGAAAAAGCAATTATCAGAACCAGCCATTATCTTCTCCATAATATGCAACTGAGTCAAGGTACAAAGAGACTATTCATTATAATAGACAGAATATGAAAGCATTTCGGAAATATACCCATTATAGTTAATCACTTAAGATTTTCCGAAACAAGATCTAAACCAACCCAAAGTTATTGACTGTTTGAGACTTAGTGATGCAGTAGACTTGACAGAACCAACTGGCAAAAAAATTAATATTCTTAATTCACTATGGTTTTCTATTTCTAAAAAGGATATATTAAGATGGAAGTTGTTGAACCTTTAAGTAGGGAAAGAGGAAGAGAGAAAAAGAATTCTCGGAACAAGAAAATTAGATTTATATTTGTGTAGGATGTGATATGATAATAACTCATTGCTTTGGAGACCTGGTTCGAGGTCATTATGGGTTGGTATGATGCTCAACTCAGTGTTTTGGATGTAAGTTGGAGGTTGAGGGGGCATTCAGGAGAAAGGCCGAAGACTCTAATACACTCATCTCATTTGACTGGGACATGTGCCAAGGAGAATAAAGGAGCTATCCACCAAGGACGTTGCCAATATTTGTGATTCAGGGGGGAGTAGTAGTTGGCTAAGTTCTGTGTTTCGATAGGCTGATGTTCTTTGTGTTTATGTTCATAGGTTTGCTACTTGTAACAAGCTTAAACTTACTAAGCTTAAGCTTGAAGGAGAGTGTTGGAAGATATTAGGGTTAATAGTAGTGGGCTTGGACTTTTTACTAAAAAACTAGTGCCTGACTTAATCAATAGTATGAGTAGGTACATTAGGACAAGAATGAGACTGCAAACCCAGTATGAAGAGGAGCCTACAAAGAAACTAACACCATCAGTGTGACAGACGTGGCCATAACAGATGGGAAGGGGGTGCTAATATAAAAATCATCTACGTGTCTTTACCTAATAGCTTAAGATTTTGAGAGTAGCTTGTAACATAGTATTAGAGCCTCTATGACTAAGTGATCTAAAGTTCAATCCTTGTCACCCCCATTCTTACACTAAAAAATTGAATTGAGCCTGGGAATTGTCAATATTTCAAGCCCGAACAATTCTTGCGTGAGGAAACATATTAGAGATATAATATAAAAACCATTCGTGTGTGGAAGAGTTGATTCATAATAGTGCATAAACAATGTTGGCTGAATAAATGGTTCTGAGGTAGGGTTTAAACAAGGAAAACCGATTAGGAAAAAAAAAAAAAAAGACGGCTAAGCACTAGTACTGCTAGTAGAAGCCAAAGCCCACAACGAATAACACTATTATCTTGTAAAGGAAGTTGTCAAATATGAATTAATACTCAGTTTGGACAATATGAATTAATACTCAGTACTCACTGCTTATGTCCATCCCTTTCAATTTTCAACCCTTCAAGGAAAAATGCAGAAAGTCTTTCAATAAATAACAAATAGTCATCTAATAAAAGACAATTGAACATCCTTAAACTGTAATCAGCTTCCCCTTTAACCTTTTTCCTAAGAAAAAGATAGTAAAAGAACGGTTAAGCAGTTCCATATATCTGGCTAAATAAAATGAATGACCTTAGATCCAAGTTTTAATATCAAGCCAAACAAAATTCTATTACCCATAAAATACCATAGAGCAAAAGTGAAAAGCTATAACATCCATATTCATTTAAAATTTAAAGAAGTGGAGATTGTCTAGTAAACATAGCAAAAGAAAAGAAGACATATATGATATATTTCAGCTATTTGGAAAATAATTAAGAGCTTAAGTTAATAACCATAATTCTACAACATATATCTTAAAAGAATGATTACCAAAACTAACATGATTAAGATGCTATTCAGTACTAGGCTTCGAGGAGAGAAAGAAAAAAAATTAAAAAATAGAATTTTATATTAGAGAAGAAAGTTGAGGGAGATAGTCACCTCTGGTTCCTTCACGAAGGGCCTTGGCAACACGAAGTGGTGTCTTTCTAAGACCTTCCCTGTTTATATCTTCCCCAAGACCCATCAATAAAACCTTCACAGCATCTTCAATGGCAACACCATTCCCCTCTTCCTCCAAACCCACTTCAGCACAACCAATGCTCACTCCATTTTCAAGCTCAACAGTGAAACTCCCATCATCCAAACACCCCATTGAAACACCACAAATCCCACACACACAAAAAAAGAAGAAGAAGAAGAAGAAGAAGAAGAAACCACCACCCCAAATAATATCCCACAAACCCAACAAGGTAAATGACACAAAAGTGCTCAACTTTCCAACAATAAAGCCAAATTTTCGAAAACAACCCCAATTGACAACTTTCTAGATTGGGGTCAGCAGGGTGACATGCACCCCAAAAAACAAATGATGATGGGTCGAACAGAACAAAAAAAGAAGAAGAAGAAGAAGAAATCTCATGAACAAGACAAAAAATTACGAAGGACCCAACTCTTAAAATCACGAATCACGAGGAAATGCAAAAGGGTCGCAGAGATCGGTGTCAGAAAATGGATAGAGAGAAAGAACAAGGAACGAAGAAACAATAGAAGCGGGTAATGGGGAAAAAAAAAAAAAAAGAGACCAATAAAAAAAGGAATGAAAATTTGAAAAGGGTTGGTGTATTGAATTGTGCGGATCTTAGGTTGCTGTATCAAAAGTGTTAAGGTGAGGGACCAACTTAGGTAGGAGAGATTTTTGGTACATCTGAACGTGGGGAGCTGCGTCTTACACAACAACACACACTGTCGTTTTCATTATCGGTATTGTGTTCCACTTCATTTTATTTACAATAAATTCTTTTTTTTTTATCGAAAAAAAAAATTATTGTAAATAAAATGAAGTGGAACACAATACCATTTCATTTTATTTACAATAAATTCTCTCCTTTTTTTGATAAAAAAAATTATTGTAAATAAAATGAAGTGGAACACAATGCCATTTTATTTTATTTACAATAAATTCTCTCCTTTTTTTTATAAAAAAAAGGATTTATTGTAAATAAAATGAATGTGAAGAAAAGGATTTTTTCGATACAATAAATCCTTTAAGTATTATTTATTTTTTTCATATTGTTAGATTACAAGTTCAACTAACAATGATCTGAAGAAAAATAAGTAGCAATGTTATTAAAATCGGACCGGTCATTGACTCGGTCGAGGTATTGGGTCACTGGGTTACTGGTTCAACCAGTGGGTCACTGGTTCAACCGCATGACCCGGTAATTATATGCAATTTTATAATTTATATTAAAAAATTATAAACATACTCAAATATCTTAAAAAAATGATAAAATTTTTAAATATTTTAATATAAAAAATAATAAATGACATATTATTATCAAATAAAAAATCAAACAAAAATATAATAATCGTGATACGGGACTTTATGTTAAGAAAATGACATCCCTAACTATAAATCAAATCAAAATTTTCTGCATAGTGTATAATTGAGATAAAATTAGTGTTGTAGGTACATAACTTATGTAAGTCAATAAGCAAAAAAATATTCAAATATGTTCATTATGATTTTTTTTTTTTGAAAAAAAATTTAGATTTTTTTTTTTTGGACCGGATCGGGTCACTGGTTAACCGACTGAGTCATCGATTTTCATGAAAACCGGCCGGGTCGCACCAGTTCTGATACATAACCGGTCTGTTGCTTCAACCGGACCGGTTATATGACCGGTTTACCAGTTTCCGGGTCGACCCTGCCGGGTCGGTCCGGGTTTCATAACACTGATAAGTAGATATGAAAAAAATATAAAAATAATATCTTATTTCTAGTTTAGAATTTAAAAGATGGGAAAGGATTAAACTATATATGTGTAGATTTTAATACTCTTATCAATATTTGTTTTTTTTTTCGGTAAACATCAATATTTGATTTTATTTGCATGTAATAGTTTTAATTTATTAAGTATTTAAATATTTGCATCCAAATGAATTTAATACTTAAGATTGAGTGTAAGATTAGTGAATCTTATATTGATGTATATTTATTCTCCTTTAAAAACATTAACATGAGAAATATTAAAATTAATAAGAAAATTAGAAATGCCAATAATTTAAAACAATGAAAATTTCTAAAACTAACTTTATATCACTACAAAAACATTTCATAATGTGCGATAAAATTTGAAAGTTTACAAGTAATCTGATATATCAATAAATATTGTTGAAGTTATAAGAAACTTATTTCCCTTAATAATGTGTCGAATTAGAACTTTGATAATAGAAAAAAAAAATAGTATTGGAAGAGTAATCCCTAACATAAGTCCTACAATACTCTAATCAAATTATATTAGTTTGGATAAAAAGTATATACACTATACTTTAAAGTTTAGATTTATTCTGACTTTGCTTTATAATATTAAAAACTTGAATTTATTATGGCCTTTGTAGAAATAGAGACTTAAATTTGAAATGAATTAAATATTATAAACTTATTATATATGATTTATAAAGTAAAAAATTTAGAAGAAAAAGTAATCTTCAAGCCATCCTTAAATATTAACCGATTTAGAACCCTTACATATTTTTTATGCAATCCACCTACCAACCTTAACCCACAAGTTGTATTAAATTAATATGCAGCCATAGACTGCTGACCAGATCTACAGGTTGGGTTGGATGCAAGAAAATAATAGAATAGGGTTGGTGTGCTTGAAGAGTCAATGTCGTCTTTCTTTCTTTTTTTAATTAAGAGTTAATGAGATCTATGTCTCAAGCAAAAGAAAAATATTCCAAAAACACATAAGCACCTAATTGGGTGTGCTTGAAAAGCCAATGCCCTTTTAAAAAAAAAAAAAATTAGGAAATCTTGACATCTATGTCTCAAGGGAAAGAAAGATATTCCAAAATCATATGAGCATTCCTTAATAAAAGATATATCCCACAAATATTTCAAGTGATCACTTTACTTTATTATATGTTTGTTTTTTTCACCTTGATAATTTCTCAAATAGCTCTTTGTATTTTTTATTTTGGTAATTAATATGCTTATGTTGGGTTTAGAATAATAAAAGAATGTTTACATTTATTACAATCACAATTCGAGAATGTGATCAAGAGACTAATAAAGGTTGGTTGATCAAGGTCACTCCTTCCTCTTTGAGGTCATAAATTCTTCGAAATCTCATAAAAATTATTTTTTTTCATTAATGGAGTTAATGAAGGCCTACTAGAAGTATGTCTACTAGAGTGGTGTCATTGTTGGGGTTAAGGAAAGCCTAATTAAGTCTAAAAGAGGCTACACAACTAGAGTGGTAGGAATCCAACTAAAAGACTAGGTAGAAGAGAAAAAAAATCACAAGAGAGCAATAAATCTTTTTTTAATAACTTAGCAAAGTTAAAATGATTAAATGACTTCTGAAAAAAAATTAAAGATACAAGAAAAATATAATTCAGTGATTTAGCAATGTTTTAGCTACCTTGGTCTAATGGAAAAAATGTAATTAGCATTTATCTTACAAACGATAAAGAAATTAAAACTTATATAATAACAATAAGTTCCTCATCCAATTAATATATATATATATATATATATATATATATATATATATATATATATATATATAGGGTTTCAATTTTCTCATGTGATAGGAAAAAAATTTCTCATGTTGTAAACACATCTTATATGAAACCCACATCTATTAAAAAAATTAAAAAAAACAAAAGTCAATAGTAGAAAAAACAACTCTCCTATAACGGGGGAGGGTGCAACTGGCAGCGCAGGTTGCATGAGTCCCCTCGTTTGAGATGAGAAAAACATTCATTTTATATTCTCTTTTTTTTTCCGTTCCCTCGATTCCACTTTGAAAACAATAAATAAAATTTTAATTTTTCAAAATAAGAAAATAATAATAAACGATTTTGTCGCGTAACATATAACTATGAAGCGAAAGCTAAGGAGATAAAAAAAAATATACCAATTATATAATATAAAGAAATTGTTGCTTTGTGGGCAATTTTCCTTGGCGAATAATATGTTTCATATACAAAACGCCAAGCGATGGGACAAAAACGAAAAACCAAATGAGAGTGACGCAACGCAACACTCGAATAGAGGATAGAACACAAAACTAACGCATTCATATTCGTGACCGAGGTCTGCGTTCGAGGAATCAAATTTTTTTTTTTTATTACATCCGGTATCCACACAGTCGATAGTCATGAAATTAATCCCTCGTTCGGGGTCAGCACACAAAGCGTTTAAAAGCTGATCACGGGAAAAAATAAAAATAACATGTATTATATGATATTTTTTTTGGAAACTGATCCTAATTATCTCTTTGAGACGAATCAGAACCTTCCGGTATTCCCACGGGTTCGACGCTTTGAGCCGTTTATGGGACTAATCCAGAGTTTGGGTGCGAGTCCAAGAATTACGGTACTTAAGTCCTTCCCCAAATGATGTTGGTGGGATTCGAACGGAGGTCCTCTCCCACCACTCAGTCTCATGCTACCAACTGAGCCACTACACTTGGGTTATCATATGATATTTTTTGTTTAGGAATATGATGCATAAAATGAAATAATGAGAAAAAAAAATTCTTAGGATTATTTTCAATTTTCTCATAACAAATGTTGAAAACAAATTTATCCCACCCCACTTTTTCAGAATTTCTAGAAAAGTCCTGGTACTTCACCTCAGTCACCATTTCTCTTTGCATTTTTATTAGGCGTATGTGATTGTGTAATTTCACAAATCAAAACCTAGACAATTGAAATAATGAAAGAAAATATTTGAGTAATAAAAGTCTAAAACTTTTATAAATTTATAATTTTTATTATTCAGTTTGCAAATTTTATAAATCTATGATTTTTTTTTTGGTAAAAAAATCTATGATATTTATCACTCCGTAACATTTAACAAAAAATGAGTAATTAAAAAAAAAACACGGTACTTTTAAAAAACACAAAAGTAAAACCAAGAAGGGCTACACAGAGATTGAGGGTCTGTTTAATTGTGTTTTATTAAGGTGGTTCACACAATGAGCCTTGGAGCAACGAATGAACATTCCCAACACAAAGTACCCGATCCTACCAAGAAGAAAATATTTTAGGAAACAATGGATGACACATAATACTCCATAATGAAGCTTAATTAGTTTTGCTGTCATATCTAACCAGATCCTACCAAGAAGAAAATATTTTAGGAAACAAGACAAATCCAAAATATTATATAAGTTACGTGACATCAATTTACCTTGCATTAAATTAATTTCCAGCTTCATATACCTTAAAAATCCATGCATATAGAAAACAATAGAACAGGGTTCACTTGACCTATTATGCAGGTAAAGGAACATAAAGAAATCTTGTTCTATTAATTTATTACAAGTACACTTATTGGACATCAAGCAAAGCCTGTAACTCCAACTCAGCATGGTTGGCAAGTTTGTAATCATATATCCATTTGGCAGGTTTCCATAATTTTGTTTTGCTTATTTTTTTTAATCTCAAATAATACTATATAGGAATAAAAGATCCTCAAACGAACAGCAGCAGGCGCAACTTCTAACTTCTGTAATGAGGCTTAGGTGAAAGTAGGCAGGAATTGTAACCTTGGACTCATAAACCATAACATCCTTTCAATGAAAAATGCATAAGTACAACCAGCACCCTTTTTTCATTTTTTCTA